TCCCCTCACTGTCCCATTCGCTCCACCACACACTCCCTCTGACATGGCCAACAATCATCCATTTGAGACAACATTGACTTGTCAAATCAGCAACAAAACACTACAACTGAGTACAAAATTATCTAGAACATTCACACCCCTAGGATGAATCATTTTCCTCTTGCGCCAGCCATGAGTGCACATTTGGGATTTTAAAGTGAAATATTTATCTTCTTACTATTGATGTTCATTTTTGGCAACATATTACATTTTTAAAAGCTACAGCTTGCAACGTAACCAAAGATAGCACTACCATGACTACTCTTTTTTCTTTATAAATTCTGTCACTTTTTCACACTCCACCCATCCCTACAGGGATTGTTTGTTTAAAACAACTTTGATTTGTCCTGTGAATGTTTCTTCCTTTTTCGTTCCTACAACTCTGTTCCTTCTCAGTGAGACCACAGGCCCCTGCAACTGTTGCCGACTGGATGAGCATCATGTGTAGAAGTGTGAGTGTGAGTCGTGTGTGTGAGAGTGGTGTGTGGTGTGTGTGTGTGTGTGTGTGTGTGTGTTGTGTTGATGTTGTGTGTGTGTGTGTGTGTGTCCATTAGTCTGTAATTGTGTACGGGTGTGGGGGCTCAGGAGGACCGGCACGGACCAAAGACAGGAAAAGAGGAGGGTGAGGAGGTTGAGTGAGACAGAGAGAACAGAAGGGGGTGGGGGGGGTTTAAAGGGTCCTGCCATTCTTCAGGAATATCAATGAGTAACAAGTTATAGTCAGTGGACTGAGGGACAAAAACAGACAGAGAGACGATGTTAGAAGACACATGATAAAAAGGAGTGAGAAAAAGGAGAAGATGAGAGTAGGTGTGAGAGGAAAAGGTGCTATATGAGAGAAAGTGAAGACAGAGTAGGCAGTGTGTGGGTGAGAAGAAGGAGGCGATGGGTGGGAGGAATGTTAAAAGGTGAATCAGAGTCGGCATCTTTAACTCAATTTATCGAATACCAACGACAAAAAGCGAACACAACATAACATGTTGTAGTATTTTCTCTAAATTAGTCTCCAACACAAACCACAGTCTGTGCAGCTAACCATGAAAACAAATTAATCTGACTTGGTACAAATAAAAAGCTGGCAATAAAAAGGGCAGGAAAATGTGTAGCTGTGTGACAATGAAAGGAAATTGTGTGGCACAAACCAGCACATGGGGAATTTACTGTTTTCACCACAAAGTACGAAGAATTTGTTGACTTTGAGGATGGATAAACAATTCAGGATTCCTTCACATTAAGTTAAAGCAGCTGTCAGGAGTCAGATTATCAGGACACAATGTGCAGGAGAGGAATGAAAAGACGGATTTTAACATTATAACAATGTGAAATTGCAAAAACGGATGATTCACTGCGTCAAAAGCGCAGATTTCCCGTATACTACATCATCCCGCTATCCTGTGACATCAGCAAACAGTGCTGGTCAGCTGCCGCCAGAATATGAAGACATACCAGTAACAACTTAAGAGAAACAGATGAATCAGTGTGGTGTGTGACCAACAGGATGTCAAACAGACAGAGGGAGAGCTAACAACTGAAGCACAAACACACAGATCAAAGTTGTGCTCTGTTTGCATGCGTGTGTGTGTGTGTGTGTTTGCGTGTGTGTAAATATTAGCTCGTCCTGTGGTTGTTTGATTGTCGATATTGAAGCTTCATGGCCACAAAGTTTCAGAGTGATTCAGCACGTACTGGATTGACCAGATGAAGTCGCAGCCCACAGTTTCATTCTTAGCGTGGGGGTTACTAACAGGTACTGTAATACTGCACACTGTATTTTCTGAGCTTTTTACCCATAAGTGATGCATTTCTACCAACAAACTCTGGTGTCTGACGTGCTGAGCTGCAGACTTTTAATACCCTTCAGTCTGCAAGCACTTCTCATCCCCGGCAACTGCGCTGGTTGTCTTGGAAACCAATTCAAAAGCTTCCTTTATTAAGACTAGACTCAGCAACAAAGCACTTACTCACCCAATATGCGCACACGGGGAGAGGGTTAACCCAGGGCAGCCCAACATGCATTCTTCGACAGGAGACAGACTCCCAAAGAATCGGCCCACCACCCCCACACATGATCTCTCTCGACATACACACATACACAAAAAACTCCACACCACATTGTCCCCTTCCCTCTGCTGAGCCCCAGTCTGTGGTCGATTGCAGAAACTCTCAGGGCGTAATATGACTCTGCCTTTATAAACACGCGGAGAGCGAGGGAAGGAGAAAAAGGAAAGAACAAGTGAGAAACTCAAGCAAGAGGCAGAAAGAGAGCACATGTGAACAAGGAGAGGAGGAGAAATTGTGCCAGCACGGAGAACAGAAGCTCAAACAATAACAAAAAAAATCAATTTTTTACTCAATCTCTGTAACTGAGTCAACAAACTTGTCTACTTGACCAAACTTTTTCCCTCAGTTTTTTGTCTTTACTCTTGAACTGCTCAGGCGTCAGAATCAAACCACACATTTGGCAATGCAGGTTGGAAGTGTGTGTATGTGTGTGTGTATATATATATGACAGTACTAGCAGGTATGCTGGCAAGCTTGTCCGGGTCAAACCCAAGTCAGTGAGTCTGTGAGATTATCAGGGAATGTGGACACAATGAAAAATGAAAACGAAAATGAGGTAAAGTTTGTTATTGTCTATCGCTCACTGCAACCCTGACATTACGGCTGAAAAGATTAGTCGATTAATCGATTAGCAGATCAACACAAAATCTGGAAGTATTTTAATAATCGATTAATCGTTTCAGTCATTTTACAGGAATCTTTCCAGCAAAAATTTTAAAAAAAAATATGTGGTTCCAGTTCGAATGTGAGGATTTTCTGCTTGTTTTATATTATTGCAACCTGAATATGTTTGGATTTTTGACTGTTGGTCAGAGAAGACAAGCAGTTTGAAGACATAACCTTGGGCTCTGAGAAACTGCATTGGGCATTTTTTTCATTCTTGACATTTTATAGATTATTATAATAAATCGATTAAACAAAAAATGTAATGGCAGACCAATCAATAATGATAATCAATCATTAGTTGTAAATCAGAGAGCGCCCATAAACTAAACTAAACTGAACAACACAAACCAGATGGAACGTTTGTGTTGTTTTAAAGATGGTTTACGCTCCAATTTTGCTTGCTGTGAAAAACAGCTAAAACATGATCTACTGCAGTGGTTCCTGACCTTGTTGGTCTCTGACCTCCTGGAAAACCAAGCCATGTCTACTCTACTTCCTCAGGTTGCCAGAGTTATGAGAAGTTGATTTTACCTTTTCAACTGAATGATTTTAGGCCTAAATCAATGAAAATTATCCAGTATTTTACAAGGAAATCACTTAATTAAAGCCCCCGGTCGGGAAACAATAATCTAATTCAATGAATGTGTGAAACATAATATTGCATTTTTTTATATTCCTGCAAAGCGACTCTTTAGTTAACTTTCCACATATTCTCTGAGGGTATACATGCTGACTTTCCACAAAATTCCAACAGCAGCTGGGACCTTGTTAAAAAGCAGGATGATTAGTCTGAGCTTCACGGTATCAGTCATTTTGTTAGAGTACGTATAGCCGTGTAGCAGAGTTATTTTGCCTCCCTCGTTCATCTCCTTTACACTCCCTTGTCTTCACTGCCTCTGTTTATCTCCATCTCTCCCCTCCTCCATTTCTCCCTCCATTCATCTCCCTCTGGGGTGCAAGTGCCTGGCACCACCAGTCTCTCTCTCTCTCCCTGTCTCTCTCCCTCGGAAAGCTGCATCTCAAAGAGTCGATTCTCCAGTCGAATGCATCTGCACACAACCACAGCCAGCCTGCCTTCGATAAATGTGCACACACGCGCTGATTAAATAACCATAAACAGTCGCTATGAACATACATTCTCATTCAAACGCTGGCATGTTTGTGTTGATAAATCCTGTTACTTGCTCTCCGCTGCAGCTCGTGAAACATGCGAGACAAACCCGAAACATGAGGCAAACACGCGAAACAAAACACCCTTAACATACACTTCAAAACATCCAAGCTCTTCTAAGGATGATGGTGCTTGACTGGTAAACAAGACGAAAACACCCTACAACAACGAAGCAGCAGACTGATGTAATCCTGCTATTAACTACAGGACGGCCACGGTAATGACAGAGTTGGCGGGCGTAGAGGGATGAGCGAGTTCAATAACATGTCACAGAGTTGTGTCATGCGGACGCTGCATGAGCCGTCAAGCTGCTGGAATCTTTGACACAACTGAAGCTCTAAGCTAAATTATTTTTTTCCGCAAAGCATCTCACGGGCCAAAACCAATACTCATTTCTAGTACAGCTTTACTCAATGTTCCAGTTTATTCTGTGTTGCTCAAACACACACAGTATTGCACTACCGCTGGCAAAGGGGTTGGGGGTTAGATTCCCACTGACCGCAAGCTCAAAAATGCATTTATGGTATTCTGGGCCTTCCAAGAATAAAAGCCATCTGCCTAATAGCGTATGTAATGATGTTGTTGATGTTTTGTTTTTCAGTCTTGGTCTCAGTTTCACAGCTCCGGCCAACAGTCCTATCGGTTATGATAATATTTTACCCAGCAAGTTAATTGCAGTGATCTGGTAGTGGTGAGAGCATTACAACTGAGAGCGGTAGGGCAGGAGCACAAGTGGTCAGATGACGCATGCAGGTGGTAAACAAACCCCCCACTTTGCACAGATTATCTAGACCACTCGAGCAGAAATTACACTCAAGGTCAGTGCACCTGAAAAGACAATTACACAGAGAAACCGTGTGCTCACTACTTCAGTTAGTACCGTAAACCTTTGTCTTTGAATTAAGGTAGAATTGAGGGGTTTGGTTGCCACCTGTCTGGTCACTCATGCTGCTTCCTGTACCAGACTCCTGTCTAGAAATGACCCCAAATACCAGACATTTAGTTGCTGTGAGAAAAATGTTACTATAACCCAAAAGAACAAAAGCCACGACTTTGAAAATAAAGCCCAGACTGTAAAAAAATGATGAAACTTTCCTCTAATGTTGTCAATTCAGACAGGAATAACAGACCAGTCTCCTTCAGTTCAGTGGTGCAGATGGTGCAACTTCCCACAGAGACAGACAGTACACACAGCAATGCACTGCTCTGCTCGAGTGATGTTATATAAACAGCTCTGCTGCAGATACATCTGATCAGTATTTCCTCAACATTCGTAAAGCACTGTGAGAAATCATGAGAGCAAAAAACAGAAAAGCACTGCGAGGTATAAAGACAATAACTTATAGCTCAATTAGCCTCAAACAGCTTAAAAATTGTATGGATGCTAGTGCTGGGCGGTATGACCAAATATGTGTATCACGGCATTTTTTAAGATTCTAGCAGCTTCACAGTATTTTTTTGTCGTTGTTGTTGCATGATAGAGG